AGCCGTATGATCCTGGTTCTACAGCCGTATGATCCTGGTTCTACAGCCGTATGATCCTGGTTCTACAGCCGTATGATCCTGGTTCTACAGCCGTATGATCCTGGTTCTACAGCAGTATGATCCTGGTTCTACAGCCGTATGATCCTGGTTCTACAGCCGTATGATCCTGGTTCTACAGCCGTATGATCCTGGTTCTACAGCCGTATGATCCTGGTTCTACAGCCGTATGATCCTGGTTCTACAGCCGTATGATCCTGGTTCTACAGCCGTATGATCCTGGTTCTACAGCCGTATGATCCTGGTTCTACAGCCGTATGATCCTGGTTCTACAGCAGTATGATCCTGGTTCTACAGCAGTATGATCATGATCCTGGTTCTACAGCCGTATGATCCTGGTTCTACAGCAGTATGATCCTGGTTCTACAGCAGTATGATCCTGGTTCTACAGCAGTATGATGCTGGTTCTACAGCAGTATGATCCTGGTTCTACAGGATTCTACAGCCGTATGATCCTGGTTCTACAGCCGTATGATCCTGGTTCTACAGCCGTATGATCCTGGTTCTACAGCCGTATGATCCTGGTTCTACAGCCGTATGATCCTGGTTCTACAGCAGTATGATCCTGGTTCTACAGCCGTATGATCCTGGTTCTACAGCCGTATGATCCTGGTTCTACAGCCGTATGATCCTGGTTCTACAGCCGTATGATCCTGGTTCTACAGCAGTATGATCCTGGTTCTACAGCAGTATGATCCTGGTTCTACAGCCGTATGATCCTGGTTCTACAGCCGTATGATCCTGGTTCTACAGCCGTATGATCCTGGTTCTACAGCCGTATGATCCTGGTTCTACAGCCGTATGATCCTGGTTCTACAGCCGTATGATCCTGGTTCTACAGCCGTATGATCCTGGTTCTACAGCCGTATGATCCTGGTTCTACAGCCGTATGATCCTGGTTCTACAGCCGTATGATCCTGGTTCTACAGCCGTATGATCCTGGTTCTATCCTGGTTCTACAGCAGTATGATCCTGGTTCTACAGCCGTATGATCCTGGTTCTACAGCCGTATGATCCTGGTTCTACAGGATTCTACAGCCGTATGATCCTGGTTCTACAGCCGTATGATCCTGGTTCTACAGCCGTATGATCCTGGTTCTACAGCCGTATGATCCTGGTTCTACAGCCGTATGATCCTGGTTCTACAGCCGTATGATCCTGGTTCTACAGCAGTATGATCCTGGTTCTACAGCCGTATGATCCTGGTTCTACAGCCGTATGATCCTGGTTCTACAGCAGTATGATCCTGGTTCTACAGCCGTATGATCCTGGTTCTATCCTGGTTCTACAGCCGTATGATCCTGGTTCTACAGCAGTATGATCCTGGTTCTACAGCAGTATGATCCTGGTTCTACAGCAGTATGATCCTGGTTCTACAGCCGTATGATCCTGGTTCTACAGCCGTATGATCCTGGTTCTACAGCCGTATGATCCTGGTTCTACAGCAGTATGATCCTGGTTCTACAGCCGTATGATCCTGGTTCTACAGCCGTATGATCCTGGTTCTACAGCCGTATGATCCTGGTTCTACAGCCGTATGATCCTGGTTCTACAGCCGTATGATCCTGGTTCTACAGCAGTATGATCCTGGTTCTACAGCAGTATGATCCTGGTTCTACAGCAGTATGATCCTGGTTCTACAGCAGTATGATCCTGGTTCTACAGGGTTCTACAGCCGTATGATCCTGGTTCTATCCTGGTTCTACAGCAGTATGATCCTGGTTCTACAAGGTTCTACAGCCGTATGATCCTGGTTCTATCCTGGTTCTACAGCAGTATGATCCTGGTTCTACAGCAGTATGATCCTGGTTCTACAAGGTTCTACAGCCGTATGATCCTGGTTCTATCCTGGTTCTACAGCAGTATGATCCTGGTTCTACAGGGTTCTACAGCCGTATGATCCTGGTTCTATCCTGGTTCTACAGCCGTATGATCCTGGTTCTACAGGGTTCTACAGCCGTATGATCCTGGTTCTACAGCAGTATGATCCTGGTTCTACAGCAGTATGATCCTGGTTCTACAGCAGTATGATCTTGGTTCTACAGGGTTCTACAGCAGTATGATCCTGGTTCTACAGCAGTATGATCCTGGTTCTACAGGGTTCTACAGCAGTATGAGCCTGGTTCTACAGCAGTATGATCCTGGTTCTATCCTGGTTCTACAGCAGTATGATCCTGGTTCTACAGCAGTATGATCCTGGTTCTACAGCCGTATGATCCTGGTTCTACAGCCGTATGATCCTGGTTCTACAGCCGTATGATCCTGGTTCTACAGCCGTATGATCCTGGTTCTACAGCCGTATGATCCTGGTTCTACAGCCGTATGATCCTGGTTCTACAGCCGTATGATCCTGGTTCTACAGCCGTATGATCCTGGTTCTACAGCCGTATGATCCTGGTTCTACAGCCGTATGATCCTGGTTCTACAGCCGTATGATCCTGGTTCTACAGCCGTATGATCCTGGTTCTACAGCCGTATGATCCTGGTTCTACAGCCGTATGATCCTGGTTCTACAGCCGTATGATCCTGGTTCTACAGCCGTATGATCCTGGTTCTACAGCAGTATGATCCTGGTTCTACAGCCGTATGATCCTGGTTCTATCCTGGTTCTACAGCAGTATGATCCTGGTTCTACAGCAGTATGATCCTGGTTCTACAGCCGTATGATCCTGGTTCTACAGCAGTATGATCCTGGTTCTACAGTAGTATGATCCTGGTTCTACAGGGTTCTACAGCCGTATGATCCTGGTTCTATCCTGGTTCTACAGCAGTATGATCCTGGTTCTACAGCAGTATGATCCTGGTTCTACAAGGTTCTACAGCCGTATGATCCTGGTTCTATCCTGGTTCTACAGCAGTATGATCCTGGTTCTACAGGGTTCTACAGCCGTATGATCCTGGTTCTACAGGGTTCTACAGCCGTATGATCCTGGTTCTACAGCAGTATGATCCTGGTTCTACAGCAGTATGATCCTGGTTCTACAGCAGTATGATCTTGGTTCTACAGGGTTCTACAGCAGTATGATCCTGGTTCTACAGCAGTATGATCCTGGTTCTACAGGGTTCTACAGCAGTATGAGCCTGGTTCTACATCAGTATGATCCTGGTTCTATCCTGGTTCTACAGCAGTATGATCCTGGTTCTACAGGGTTTTACAGCAGTATGGTCCTGGTTCTACAGGGTTCTACAGCAGTGAAATATAGGTTTCTCTGATCTAATCTTGTTTCGCTGCAGGTTTCTTGAAGGTGGCTCATCACAAACCAGATCATAGTTTTCTCTTACTCCAACCAAGACCAGGTGAGTCCGGCTGTCGTGTGTTTTCATATTAACATTTTTGTTTTCTTAAATATAGGATGGAACAGAATATTGATCCGTTTCTATTTGTGATACAAACAAGACAATCTATATCATTTAAAATACATTAATATTAGTTTACTTGAAAGGGACAGAACAAGATGCATTGTTACAAATAACACCATAAATCGTATAAATGTGTGTAACTGCTGGACATAAAGTCTTCCACCACAGAAAAGATTTATGACATTTAGAGGCCAACATTTGATGCACTAGAACCTCACACAAACTCTCACTCATTTCCAAACATGTTTAGAGTCCAGAGGATGGGAGTGTCACAGCTGAAAGCCTTTAGCCGTTAGCCTGCAGAGGGCGCTCTAACACAGTCAAAATACATACATTAGCCTCATCACAACATAAGATATTCCTTTATTCGTCTCACTGTGGAGACATTTCAGAAAGTAATTCAGTAATAATCCGCCGGGTTCCATGCAGAATGTCAATAATTACAGTTTTTGTGATTCAATAATTACAGACACATAAATGGCGTTTTTGGTTCAATTGTGATTGTGTGTGTGTGTGTGTCTGTGCGTGTGCGTGTGTCTGTGTCTGTGCGTGTGTGTCTGTGTGTCTGTGTCTGTCTGTGTGTGTGTGTGTCTGTCTGTGTGTGTGTGTCTGTCTGTGCGTGTGTGTGTGTCTGTCTGTGCGTGTGTGTGTCTGTGCGTGTGTGTGTCTGTGCGTGTGTCTGTGTCTGTGCGTGTGTCTGTGTCTGTGTCTGTGCGTGTGTCTGTGTCTGTGTCTGTGCGTGTGTGCTGTGCGTGTGTCTGTGCGTGTGGCTGTGCGTGTGTCTGTGTCTGTGTCTGTGTCTGTGCGTGTGTCTGTGCGTGTGTCTGTGTCTGTGCGTGTGTCTGTGTCTGTGTCTGTGTCTGTGTCTGTGCGTGTGTCTGTGTCTGTGCGTGTGTCTGTGCGTGTGTCTGTGCGTGTGTCTGTGTCTGTGCGTGTGTCTGTGCGTGTGTCTGTGTCTGTGTCTGTGGCTGTGTCTGTGTCTGTGCGTGTGTCTGTGTCTGTGCGTGTGTCTGTGCGTGTGTCTGTGTCTGTGCGTGTGTCTGTGTCTGTGTCTGTGTCTGTGTCTGTGTCTGTGTCTGTGTCTGTGTCTGTGTCTGTCTGTGTCTGTGTCTGTGGCTGTGTCTGTGTCTGTGTCTGTGTCTGTCTGTGTCTGTGTCTGTGCGTGTGTCTGTGTGTGTGTCTGTGCGTGTGTCTGTGCGTGTGTCTGTGCGTGTGTCTGTGTCTGTGTCTGTGCGTGTGTCTGTGTCTGTGCGTGTGTCTGTGTCTGTGCGTGTGTCTGTGTCTGTGCGTGTGTCTGTGTCTGTGTCTGTGCGTGTGTCTGTGCGTGTGTCTGTGTCTGTGTCTGTGTCTGTGTCTGTGCGTGTGTCTGTGCTTGTGTGTCTGTGCGTGTGTCTGTGTCTGTGTCTGTGTCTGTGTCTGTGTCTGTGCGTGTGTCTGTGCGTGTGTCTGTGCGTGTGTCTGTGCGTGTGTCTGTGTCTGTGCGTGTAGCTCGAGGATGGCGGTGAATGTTTACTCCACGTCTATGAACGTAGACAACCTGAGCCGCCATGACATGTTAGCCTGGCTCAACGACTCTCTGCAGCTCACCTACACCAAGATCGAGCAGCTGTGTTCGGGTAAGATCCACCTCTGAATGTGTTCTCCATGACCCTCTCCATGACCCTCTCCATGACCTTCTCCATGACCCTCTCCATGACCCTCTCCATGACCGTCTTCATGACCTTCTCCATGACCCTCTCCATGACCCTCTCCATGACCCTCTCCATGACCCTCTCCATGACCGTCTCCATGACCGTCTCCATGACCCTCTCCATGACCCTCTCCATGACCTTCTCCATGACCCTCTCCATGACCCTCTCCATGACCGTCTCCATGACCTTCTCCATGACCCTCTCCATGACCCTCTCCATGACCGTCTCCATGACCCTCTCCATGCCCTTCTCCATGACCTTCTCCATGACCCTCTCCATGACCCTCTCCATGACCGTCTCCATGACCTTCTCCATGACCCTCTCCATGACCCTCTCCATGACCGTCTCCATGACCGTCTCCATGACCCTCTCCATGACCCTCTCCATGACCTTCTCCATGACCCTCTCCATGACCCTCTCCATGACCGTCTTCATGACCTTCTCCATGACCCTCTCCATGACCCTCTCCATGACCGTCTCCATGACCGTCTCCATGACCCTCTCCATGACCCTCTCCATGACCTTCTCCATGACCCTCTCCATGACCCTCTCCATGACCCTCTCCATGACCTTCTCCATGACCCTCTCCATGACCCTCTCCATGACCGTCTCCATGACCCTCTCCATGCCCTTCTCCATGACCTTCTCCATGACCCTCTCCATGACCCTCTCCATGACCCTCTCCATGACCTTCTCCATGACCCTCTCCATGACCCTCTCCATGACCGTCTTCATGACCTTCTCCATGACCCTCTCCATGACCCTCTCCATGACCGTCTCCATGACCGTCTCCATGACCCTCTCCATGACCCTCTCCATGACCTTCTCCATGACCCTCTCCATGACCCTCTCCATGACCGTCTCCATGACCTTCTCCATGACCCTCTCCATGACCCTCTCCATGACCGTCTCCATGACCCTCTCCATGCCCTTCTCCATGACCTTCTCCATGACCCTCTCCATGACCCTCTCCATGACCGTCTTCATGACCTTCTCCATGACCCTCTCCATGACCCTCTCCATGACCGTCTCCATGACCGTCTCCATGACCCTCTCCATGACCCTCTCCATGACCTTCTCCATGACCCTCTCCATGACCCTCTCCATGACCGTCTTCATGACCTTCTCCATGACCCTCTCCATGACCCTCTCCATGACCGTCTCCATGACCGTCTCCATGACCCTCTCCATGACCCTCTCCATGACCTTCTCCATGACCCTCTCCATGACCCTCTCCATGACCGTCTCCATGACCTTCTCCATGACCCTCTCCATGACCCTCTCCATGACCGTCTCCATGACCCTCTCCATGCCCTTCTCCATGACCTTCTCCATGACCCTCTCCATGACCCTCTCCATGACCCTCTCCATGACCGTCTCCATGCCCTTCTCCATGACCCTCTCCATGACCGTCTCCATGACCGTCTCCATGACCCTCTCCATGACCGTCTCCATGACCGTCTCCATGACCGTCTCCATGACCGTCTCCATGACCGTCTCCATGACCCTCTCCATGACCCTCTCCATGACCGTCTCCATGACCCTCTCCATGACCGTCTCCATGACCGTCTCCATGCCCTTCTCCATGACCGTCTCCATGACCGTCTCCATGACCGTCTCCATGACCGTCTCCATGACCGTCTCCATGACCGTCTCCATGACCGTCTCCATGACCCTCTCCATGACCCTCTCCATGACCGTCTCCATGACCGTCTCCATGACCGTCTCCATGACCGTCTCCATGACCCTCTCCATGACCGTCTCCATGACCGTCTCCATGACCGTCTCCATGACCGTCTCCATGACCGTCTCCATGACCGTCTCCATGACCGTCTCCATGACCGTCTCCATGACCGTCTCCATGACCCTCTCCATGACCTCTCCATGACCGTCTCCATGACCGTCTCCATGACCGTCTCCATGACCGTCTCCATGACCGTCTCCATGACCGTCTCCATGACCGTCTCCATGACCGTCTCCATGACCGTCTCCATGACCGTCTCCATGACCGTCTCCATGACCGTCTCCATGACCGTCTCCATGACCGTCTCCATGACCGTCTCCATGACCGTCTCCATGACCGTCTCCATGACCCTCTCCATGACCCTCTCCATGACCCTCTCCATGACCTCTCCATGACCGTCTCCATGACCGTCTCCATGACCGTCTCCATGACCGTCTCCATGACCGTCTCCATGACCCTCTCCATGACCCTCTCCATGACCCTCTCCATGACCCTCTCCATGACCTCTCCATGACCCTCTCCATGACCCCATCTCCATGACCGTCTCCATGACCCTCTCCATGACCGTCTCCATGACCGTCTCCATGTCTCCATGACCGTCTCCATGACCGTCTCCCATGACCCTCTCCATGACCGTCTCCATGACCGTCTCCATGACCGTCTCCATGACCGTCTCCATGACCGTCTCCATGACCGTCTCCATGACCGTCTCCATGACCGTCTCCATGACCGTCTCCATGACCCTCTCCATGACCGTCTCCATGACCGTCTCCATGACCGTCTCCATGACCGTCTCCATGACCGTCTCCATGACCGTCTCCATGACCGTCTCCATGACCGTCTCCATGACCGTCTCCATGACCGTCTCCATGACCGTCTCCATGACCGTCTCCATGACCGTCTCCATGCCCTTCTCCATGACCGTCTCCATGACCGTCTCCATGACCGTCTCCATGACCGTCTCCATGACCGTCTCCATGACCGTCTCCATGACCGTCTCCATGACCCTCTCCATGACCCTCTCCATGACCCTCTCCATGACCGTCTCCATGACCGTCTCCATGACCGTCTCCATGACCGTCTCCATGACCGTCTCCATGACCCTCTCCATGACCCTCTCCATGACCCTCTCCATGACCCTCTCCATGACCCTCTCCATGACCGTCTCCATGACCCTCTCCATGACCGTCTCCATGACCCTCTCCATGACCGTCTCCATGACCGTCTCCATGACAGTCTCCATGACCGTCTCCATGACCGTCTCCATGACCGTCTCCATGACCGTCTCCATGACCGTCTCCATGACCGTCTCCATGACCCTCTCCATGACCCTCTCCATGACCGTCTCCATGACCGTCTCCATGACCGTCTCCATGACCCTCTCCATGACCCTCTCCATGACCCTCTCCATGACCCTCTCCATGACCCTCTCCATGACCCTCTCCATGACCGTCTCCATGACCCTCTCCATGACCCTCTCCATGACCGTCTCCATGACCGTCTCCATGACCGTCTCCATGACCGTCTCCATGACCGTCTCCATGACCGTCTCCATGACCGTCTCCATGACCCTCTCCATGACCCTCTCCATGACCGTATTTAATGGTTCTCTCTCACAGGAGCTGCTTATTGCCAGTTCATGGACATGCTTTTCCCGGGCTGCATCCTGCTGAAGAAAGTCAAGTTTAACTCCAAACTGGAGCATGAATATATCCACAACTATAAAGTCTTACAGGCCGCCTTCAAACGGATGAACGTGGACAAGGTGACAGGAAACGTACACACTGCTGGGGTACTGAACTTTCAACCCAACACAGAACAATGTCATGAAATCCAGATCGCCGCTTTCAAAACTGTTTGTTATATCATTATCATTCAGACACTGTCACTTCTTTAGATAATCTTTTTCAGACAGAAAAGTGAAAAACAGAGGAGCACCCTCACTCTAAACACTCTCAACCCAAAGTGTCAAATAGTGACTCACAGGGTTGTTCCTTACAGGTCTGCAAAGATACCATGTTTTTAATCTGCCACAGACTGCATGCTGTGGTCTGATTTGTTCACTAAATATTACTTTTACAAGACTAAAGAAAAGAAAATATATTTTCTGCATAAGAGTCATGGATCACAGGCTCATATATGTTTGAGATCAGTGTGAGCTTGAATTGAATTGAAGAACACAGAGAGTTGACTGAATAACCTGAGGAAGAACACAGAGAGTTGACTGAATAACCTGAGGAAGAACACAGAGAGTTGACTGAATAACCTGAGGAAGAACACAGAGAGTTGACTGAATAACCTGAGGAAGAACACAGAGAGTTGACTGAATAACCTGAGGAAGAACACAGAGAGTTGACTGAATAACCTGAGGAAGAACACAGAGAGTTGACTGAATAACCTGAGGAAGAACACAGAGAGTTGACTGAATAACCTGAGGAAGAACACAGAGAGTTGACTGAATAACCTGAGGAAGAACACAGAGAGTTGACTGAATAACCTGAGGAAGAACACAGAGAGTTGACTGAATAACCTGAGGAAGAACACAGAGAGTTGACTGAATAAAGGTTTATCTTATCTTAATAACCTGAGGTACTTTAATCCTTGTTATTCTGTCTTTCCCAGATCATCCCAGTGGAGCGACTCGTGAAGGGGAAATTCCAAGACAACTTTGAGTTTCTTCAGTGGTTTAAGAGGTTTTTTGACGCTAACTATGACGGGAAAGAGTACGACCCAGTTCTGTCTCGCCAGGGCATGGAGGCGTCGCCGGTGCCCAACCCAGGTACACAACGACCAAAGGATTAACCTCAGTCGCCACATAGTCCCGCCAATAATGATAGAGTGATTCTAAAGATCCATCCATCCATTTTCTTCCCCTTAATCCATTTCTGGGTCGGGGGGGTGGCAGTCAGAGCTGCACCCAGTCCACAGAGCACCAGCCCCTCACTGATCCTCCTGCAGGTGGTGAGTCCACAGGAGCTGAGATCTTTCAGCGGGGGCTTCAGGCAAAGTGGGGTTAAGTGTCTTGCCTAAGGACACAACGACAGCAGTCATCAGTGGGAGTCGTGAAGTAGGTCTTACGGTGGGCTCGAACCCACGACCTTCAGGCTCAAAGGCCAATGCTCTACCAACTGAGCTATTGTCGCCCCCGATTCTAAAGATAATATATTATAAAGATAATAAAGTGGGGGCGGGTCATTGAAGTCAGGTGGCGGGTCATGGGGAAGTCAGGGGGCGGGTCATGGGGAAGTCAGGGGGGCGGGTCATCATGAAGTCAGGGGGGGCGGGTCATGGGGAAGTCAGGGGGCGGGTCATTGAAGTCAGGGGGCGGGTCATGGGGAAGTCAGGGGGCGGGTCATGGGAAGTCAGGGGGCGGGTCATGGGGAAGTCAGGGGGCGGGTCATGGGGAAGTCAGGGGGCGGGTCATGGGAAGTCAGGGGGCGGGTCATGGGGAAGTCAGGGGGCGGGTCATGGGGAAGTCAGGGGGCGGGTCATGGGGAAGTCAGGGGGGGTCATGGGAAGTCAGGGGGCGGGTCATGGGGAAGTCAGGGGGCGGGTCATGGGGAAGTCAGGGGCGGGTCATGGGGAAGTCAGGGGGCGGGTCATGGGAAGTCATGGGGGGAAGTCAGGGGGCGGGTCATGGGGAAGTCAGGGGGCGGGTCATGGGAAGTCAGGGGGCGGGTCATGGGGAAGTCAGGGGGCGGGTCATGGGGAAGTCAGGGGGCGGGTCATGGGGAAGTCAGGTGGCGGGTCATGGGGAAGTCAGGGGGCGGGTCATGGGGAAGTCAGGGGGCGGGTCATGGGGAAGTCAGGGGGCGGGTCATGGGGAAGTCAGGGGGCGGGTCATGGGGAAGTCAGGGGGCGGGTCATGGGGAAGTCAGGGGGCGGGTCATGGGGAAGTCAGGGGGCGGGTCATGGGGCAAGTCAGGGGGCGGGTCATGGGGAAGTCAGGGGGCGGGTCATGGGGAAGTCAGGGGGCGGGTCATGGGGAAGTCAGGGGGCGGGTCATGGGGAAGTCAGGGGGCGGGTCATGGGGAAGTCAGGGGGCGGGTCATGGGGAAGTCAGGTGGCGGTCATGGGTCAGGTGGGGAAGTCAGGGGGCGGGTCATGGGGAAGTCAGGGGGCGGGTCATGGGGAAGTCAGGGGGCGGGTCATGGGGAAGTCAGGGGGGTGGCGGGTCATGGGGAAGTCAGGTGGCGGGTCATGGGGAAGTCAGGGGGCGGGTCATGGGGAAGTCAGGGGGCGGGTCATGGATGGGACTGTGTGACTCAGCATAGCATCAGTTCACAGACTGAAGGGCAGCGTGTTGCTAGCATAAGCATCATCACAGACTGATGGACTATCTTGGTGACTAGCTAAGCCTCAGAGCCAGCAGACAGAATGGAACTGGAGACTAGCATAAGCATCAGAGATCACAGACTGATGGGACTGTGTGACTAGCATATGCATCAAGTCCCAGACTAGATGGACTGTGTGACTAGCATAGCATCAGAGCCACAGATCAAGTTCGGGGACTGTGTGACTACCTAGCCTCCGTGCCCCCAACACAAGACTAGATGAGGACTGTAGTGTACTATGCATAGCATCAGTACACAGAAACTGATGACCTGTGTGACTAGCATAGCATCAGAGCCACAACTGATTGGGACACTGTGTGACTACATAGCATCAGAGTCGACAGACTGAATGACTGTGTAGACTAGCATATGGCAACAAAGTCACAGACTGATGGAGCTGTGTGACTAAGCGACCAGCATTCAGTCACAGACTGATGGACTGTGTGACTCAGCATAGCATCAGAGTCACAGACTGATGGACTGAGTGACTAGCATAGCATCAGAGTCACAGACTGATGACGGACTGACGTGACTAGCATAGCATCAAGTCACAGACTGATGGACCTTGTGACAAGCATTTGCATCAGTCACAGACTGATGGACGTGTGACCTAGCGAAGCATCAGAGATCACAAGACTGATGGATCTAGTGATGACGAGCATAGCCATGCAGAGCCACAGAACTGATGGAATGTAGTACTACATAGCAACAGTCACAGACTGATGACTGTGATGACTAGTGCATAGCAATCAGAGCCACAGACGGATGGCCGTGTGTGACTAGCATAGTCATCAGTCCACCGACTGATAGGACTGTGTGACTAGCAGAGCATCAGAGCCACAGAACTGATGGACTAGTGTAGACTCGCATAGCCTCAGGAGGCCTACAGAGACTGTATGGCCTGTGTTACTACATTCCCAGCATCAGAGTCACAGACTGATGGACTGTGTGAACTAGCATAAGCATCAGTACACAGACTGATGGACTGTGTGACTAGCAGAGCATCAGTAGCACAGACTGCTGGACTAGTGTGACCTAGCATAGCATAGAGCACACAGACTTGATGGACTGTGTGAACTAGCATAGACATCAGAGTGCACCGACTTAAGGACTTGTGACTAGCATAGCATCAGAGCCACGAGACTGATGGACTGTGTGACGTGAGCATAGACATCAGAGTCACAGACTGATGGTACGTGTGACTAGCATAAGCATCAGAGGCACGAGACTGATGTACTGTGTGACTAGCATAGGCATCAGTCACCAGACATGAAGGATCTGTGTGACTAAGCATAAGCATACTAGAGTCCCAAGACTGATGGACTGATGTGACTAGCATAGCATCAGAGTCACAGACTGATGGGACTGATGATTACTGAGCTATAGCATCAGAGATCACAGACTGATGGGACTAGTGGTGCCTACATAGCATCAAGACCACAGACTGATGGACAAGTGTGACTAGCATAGCATCAGAGCCACAGTACTGATGGACTGGTGTGAACTAGTCAATAGCATCAGTCACAGACAGATGGACCTGTGTGGACTAGCATAGCATCAGAGTCACAGACTAGGATGACTGTGTGACCTAGCATAGCATCAGTCTGCAGACTGATGACGTGTGTGACTGCATAGCCGCAGTCACAGACTGATGGACTGTGTGACCTAGCATAAGCATCAGAGTCACAGACTGAATGGACTGTGTGACTAGCATAGCATCAGAGTCACAGAGCTGATGACTGTAGTGGACCAAGTACACTAGCATCAGAGTCACAGACCGATGACTGATGAGACTAGTCATAGCATCAAGTCACGAGACTGATGGGAGGACTGGGTGACTAGCATAGCATCAGAGTCCACAGACTGATGGACTGTGTGACTAACCCCGCATAGCAACAGATCACCGACGTGCTGGACTGTGTGCACTAGCATAGCATCAGAGTCACAGACTGAATGGCACGGTGATGACTTGGCATAGCCTCATCACAGAACTGTGGACTGTCGTGAAACATAGCAAGAGCACCAAAGTCTCAGAAACTGATGGACTGTGTGACTAGCATAGCATCTAGAGTCCACAGACTGATGGACTGTGTGACATAGCCTAGCATCAGGTGGCCCACAGACTGATGGGACTGTGTGACTAGCATAGCAATCAGAGTCAATCAGACTGATGGACTGTGTGACTAGCATACGGCAATCAGAGTCACAGACTGATAGGACTTGTGTGACTAGCTTAGCATCAGAGTACACAGACTGATGTGACTGTGTGACATAGCATAGCATCAGAGCTCTCTGACTGATGGGACTAGTGATGACTAGCAATAAGGGCATCTGAGTCACAGACGACTGGAGGCTGGGTTGTGACTAGGTACTAGCATCAGCCACAACTGATGGAGCTGTGGAACTAGCATCAGCATCAGTCACTAACTGATAAGGACTGTGTGACGTAGCCTCGCATCAGAGACCACAGTACTGATGGAACTGTGTGCGCTAGGCATAGCATACATGTCCCAGACTGATGGGACCTAGTGTGACTAGCATAGCATCAGAGTCACAGACTGAATGGACTGTGGTGACTAGCATAGCATCAGAGCACGAACTAAGATGGACTGTCGAGATGACTAGCAAACCGCATCAGTCACAGACTGATGGACGTGTGACTTAGCATAGCAATCAGAGTCACAGACTGATGGAGACGGTGTACTACATAAGCAATCCCGAAGATCACAGGACTCATGGGACTGTGTGACGTAGCAAGGAGCATCAGTCCACAGACTGATTGGCTGTGTGACTAGCATAGCATCAGCCACAGACAGATGGATCTGTGTGACTAGCATAGCAACAGAGTCACAGACTGATGGACTGTGTGACTAGCATAGCATCAGTCATAAACAGACTGATGGACTGTGTGACTAGCATAGCATCAGATCACAGACTGATGGACTGATGTGACTAGCAAGCATCAGAGTACCACAGACTGATGGACGTGAGTGACTAGCCTAGCATCAGAGCCCAGACGTGTGGACTCGTGAGACTAGCCTAGCTCAGAGTCCCAGACTGATGGACTGTGTGACTAGCGATAGCAATACCGAGTCACCGACTGATAGGCCTGTGTGTCTAGCTTCGCATCAGTCACGAGACACTTATGGGACTGTGGTGACTAGCATCGCCTCAGAGTCACCAGACTGAATGACTGTGTGACTAGCATAAGCACAGAGACCACCGACAGATGGAGCTGTGTGACTAGCATAGCACAGTCACAGTACTGATGGACTGATGACTAGCATAGCATCAGTCACCAGACTGATGGACTGTGTGACTAGCATAAGCAGCAGTCACAGACTGAGGGGAACTGTGAGACTACAATAGCCTCCAGTCACAGACTGATGGACTGTGTGACTAGCAAGCATCAGAGGTCACAGACTGATGGACTGTGTGACTAGCTATAGCATCAGTCACAGACTGATGGACTGTGTGACTATCATCGCATCAAGTCACAGACGGATGGAACTAGTGTGACATAGCATAGCATCCAGAGCCACACGGACGTGATGGGCTGTGTGACTAGCAATGAGGCATCCGAGCTCACAGACTGATGGACGTGTGTGACTAGCATAGCATCAGAGTCCACAGACTGATGGGAACTAGTGTGACTAGCATAGCATCAGAGCCACAGACTGATGGACTGTGTGACTAGCATAGCATCAGAGCCACAGACTGCTGGACTGTGTGCTAGCATAGCTCAGGCCAAGACTGAGGACTTGTGACTACTCAGCATCAGAGTCTCAGACTGATGGACTGTGTGACTAGCAATAGCACCTCAGAGTCACCAGACTGATGCGGACAGTGAGACTAGCATAGCATCACGAGTCACAGACTGATGGACTGGGTGACTAGCATAGCATCAGAGTCACAGACTGATGACTGTGTGACTATCTAGCATCAGAGCCAGCAGCTGATGACTGTGTGCTAGCCTAGATCAGAGACAGCGGATGGATGTGTGACTAGCATAGCAGTCAGAGTCACAGACTGATGGGACTGGTGCTACAGCATCGAGCAAGACTGATGGACTGTGTGACTAGCATAGCAGCGTCACAGACTGATGACTGTGTGACTAGCATAGCATCAGAGCCACAGACCTGATGGACTGTGTGACTAGCATAGCATCAGAGCCACAGACTGAAGGACTGTGTGACTAGGCATAACATAAGCATCAGTCACGGATGACTGACTGTGACTAGCATAGCATCAGTCACAGACTGATGGACTGTGTGACCTGGCATAGCATCAGAGTCCACAGACTGATGGACTGTGTGACTAGTCATAGTGCCTGCGAGAGTCACAGACTGATGGTTTGGGCGACTGTGGTGTACTAGCTATAGCATCAGAGGCCACGAGACATGATGTATCGTGTGACTGAGCATTAGCGATCCTCAGTCACAGCACTGATGGCAACTTGAAAGCTTGTGGTGATCAAAGCATAAGCATCAGAGTCACACAGACTGATGCCTTGAGTGCACTAGCATAGCATCAGAGTCACTAGAACTGATTGACCTGTGTAGGACTAGGCATAGCATCAGAGGCGCACAGGACTGATGCACTGTGTGACTAGCATAGCATCAAAGTCACAGACTGATGGACGGTGTCACATGCCTAGCATAGCATCAGAGGTCACAAGACATGATTGGACTGTGTGACTAGCATGAAAAATAGCATACAGGAGGTCACAGACTGATGGGACTGTGTGACTAGCATGAGCATCAGAGTCACAGACTGATGGTACTGTGTGACTAGCATAGCAATCAGTCACTAAGACTGATGGACTGTGTGACTAGCATAGCATCAGAGCCACAGACTGATGGACTGTGTGACTAGCATAGCATCAGAGTCACAGACTGATGGACTGTGTGACTAGCATAGCATCAGAGCC